GTGGTGCACTGCTACAGTTCGCCGCTTGGGAGCGCGGCAGCGCTCCCGCCGAGGGTTCGGATCCCACATACAGACCGGTTCCCGCTCACTGGCTGAGTGAGGGACGGGCGCAGCACCGAGGGTTGCGATTCCGTTGCCGGTCCCAGTCCGGTACGGGCGTGACACTGAGGGTTGCGGTCTGTTGCCGGACACGAAAAAAGACAAAAAGGAAAAAAAAAAAAATTTTAGTTTGCAGGTATCCTAGCAATGCAGTTTACGTTAGCTCATTTAGTTCATATAAGGCGAAAAGTATGTTTATTCATTAAGAATAGTAACTACTATGATTTGTGATAATGAATTTTAATTCAATGTTTTACATTTGATTTTCTGATGTAATTGAACAGCTGATGGGTTGTTTTGAATTTTATTTTATTCTATATAAAATATGCCTTTGAGGGGCCGGCCCAGTGGCGCACTGCTACAGTGCGCCACTTAGGAGCGCAGCGGCGCTCCAGCTGAGGGTTCGGATCCCACATACAGACTGGCCGCTCACTGGCTAAGCGAGGTGCGGGAGCAACACCGAGGGTTGCGATCCCGTTGCCGCTCCCGGTCCGGTACAGGGGCGACACTGAGGGTTGCAATCCGTTGCCGGTCACAAAAAAAGACAAAAAGGTAAAATATGCCTTTGAGTAAAACTACAGTGGTGTGATTGTGTGAGAATGTGTGTAAATGTGTGTGTATGTACACGTGTGCGTGCATGTGTGAACACATGCATCCAAGGTTGACATCTGCAGCACAGTCTGGGCAAAGCCTCTGATTTTGACTAATCGCTCATTTATTTTGTGGGCAGGTGAGCCAGGATGGGAAGTCACTCCTTGATAAGCTCCAGCGGCCCTTGACTCCCGGCAGCTCTGATTCCCTAACGGCCTCTGCCAACTACTCCAAAGCCGTGCACCATGTCCTAGATGTCATCCACGAAGTGCTGCACCACCAGCGGCAGCTGGAGAATATCTGGCAGCACCGCAAGGTCCGGCTCCACCAGAGGCTGCAGCTGTGTGTCTTCCAGCAGGACGTGCAGCAGGTCAGTTTCGCATTGCGCTCTTCTTCCTGGGGGATGGCTCTTACTGAATTGAGTTTGGGTGAGTGTGTCATCATATCGGCACTACCTGTGCTTCTGGAGTGAGTAGGAGGTGAGGGTGGTGCTTCTTTGCTGACCATGAACGAAAACAGGGCTTAGAGAACACACATGCAGGCTGCTCTCAGCCACAAGTTCCACATTCTGAGCACATGTGATGATGCATGGCCTGTGCTGGAGAGTCTGAGAGTTGTGTTTTCAAAACAGATCATCGTCAGTAATACTTATTTGTGAAAATGATGGTGGTGCTTGTACCGCTGTTGATGCAATTTGGTTAAGATTTGTCTGTTTTTCCAAGTACTTCACCGTGAGGTATCATGCTTCTCTTCTCACATGGTAGATAGTGCATGTAGGGGCTTTATAACTAGTTGTCTCATTCATGGAAGTGGACTGTTATGACTATTCATTTCTAAGCAGTTGACATCTCTTATGTCGTTGTTACAAAAATAATAGTAAGTCCAGTTCCCCATGCTACTTATTTTCTTATTGTACAATAAGGGTCTTGAGGGTTAAAGCTGTTGGACCATATGAAATATAGCTTTAGTGGTAGATAAGAGAATAGTCATGTCCTTCACTAAGATAGAGGGAAAAACGGGGAATGAACGAGGTGTCACCTCTGGGCATGAGGAATTCTGAGGTGCACAGGGAAGCCCCCCATCCAGGAGGTTGGCCTGCAGCCAAGCAGTGTGTCAGGAGTAGAGCCCCTCTCCCCTCCCTGTGCGTCCAGGTGCTGCGTGCACTGCTCACACGTGGAGGGGCTCTGATTCCCATCTCCCCAAGAAGCATCTGAAGGTGGGGGGGGGGTTGTGCTAAATGGGCTGAGATTTTGGAGAGTCGTCCTGTGGTCTCATTAAGGGAAATGGGTTTTGTTGATTAATGATCTGGAATGGTTTCGTCTTGTTATGCAAGCAGGAAATTGCTACATAGGCTTGACTTGTGAAGCAAGGAACAGATATTAAAGCTGATAATGTTAATCATAGCAAACATTATGACAATAGGATGTCAAAACAGAAACTCAAGAAATTAATAACATATAGGGAAGTTTTTGCTATATAAAGCCTAGAGTGGAAGAGGTGAGTTAAGAATAAGTGAAAAAAGTAGTAATGCCTCAGAAGACATTATCAGCAGCAGATAAGTTTGTAAAGACAAAAATAATCTAAATCCACAAGAACATAACAAGCCAATTCAAAATACCATAACTGTTTTTTATTTGGTTGTTTTTGGCAATGAAAAAGCAACTGTAAATAGTGTTGAGAAAAAAGAAGAGCAATTTACTGAACGTAGGTATGGAATGATTACAATGTTATGAAAACAACCATTCCAAAGAGTATACACTTGTCTGTTGAAATTTATTAGAAGGGACATACTAGACAAATATTAGACAAAAGCGTACCTTGAGGAATGGAACAGTGGGGGAATGGAACAGTGGGAGAATGGCATTGGACAGTTGTTTTTTATTTTTTATTTTATTTTTTTTTGTCCTTTTTGAGACCGGCTGCACTGTGCTCAGCCAGTGGGCGCTGTGAGCGCACCGGTCATCCCTATATAGGATCCGAACCTGCGGCGGGAGCGCTGCTGCACTCCCAGCGCCGCACTCTCCCGAGTGCGCCACAGGCTCAGCCCGGACAGTTGTGGTTTTTTTTTTTGTTTTTGTTTTTGTTTTTTTTTTGTGTGTGTGTGTGTGTGTGTGTGTGTCTTTTTCATGACTGGTGCTCAGCCAGTGAGCACACTGGCCATTCCTATATAGGATCCGAACCCGCGGTGGGAGCGGTGCTGCGCTCCCAGTGCTGCACTCTCTTGAATGCGCCACGGGACCGGCCCAGGACAGTTGTTTTTTAAAACATGGTTAATTTTGGTTTAGTGGATTTTTTGTTTCTCATGACAAAAAGAGGCCATTTCATAATTTCTGTATAAGGTATGTCGGTGGCCCTCGGGCATAGGACAGGAGAGGTGGTGAAGCTGCCATTGCATGGCACTTAATACCTGTCCAAATCAAAGCTTGGGGGGGTCAGAGTGGAAGAGTTGCCCACATACACGTGTTAGCTGCTAGCAAATGTCAGCATCTGTCATTGGCAGCTTACGAATAAAATTGAAACTCTTTGTCACATTTCCTGATGATCAAATAATATACAATGGGAGGGCACTTCAAAAAGTTCATGGAAAATTAGAATTAAAAGATAATACAGGGCTGGCTGGTTAGCTAAGCTGGTTAGAGCTTGGTGCCGACAACACCAAGATCAAGGGTTTGATCCCTGTACCCGCCGGTGGCCAAAAAAAAAAAAGAAAGAAAAAGAATACGAACTTTCCACGAACTTTTTGAAGTACCTCATATTTCCATCGCCTTATGATTACTATCAGAGTAGCCCTCCACGAATGCTTGGTTGAATTAATGAATGAGTAGTTGTGTTACTGCTAAGCGCTGTTTTTTAGTTTAGAGTGTGCTTTAGTTTTCTATAAGAAGATAATTTATTTTTGTTGTACTTGTTCACGTGGGGTAACTGTTGTGGACATAGACCAGAGCAGGATGTTATCAGACTTGTTTTTCTCCCTCACCAGTTCAGTTTGCCTGGCTCTTCTTGGATTGTTGGGATTTAGTTACTCCAACATGTAACTAAATCATGCGGCGTGTTGGGATTTATGGGGATGTGGATGGCCCTATAAATCTACTTTCTTGAAGCGGGCCAACTCCGCTAAAAGAAGCCCCCCAGGCAGGGAGACATTCTGCTAAAAAAGCATCCCATTTTCCCCTGGCAGCCCCTCACATGTGTGAACATCACCCCCATGGAATTAGCTCATGGAAGAACTCCCTCCAGGCTGATGTTGGGCCTTTAACTAACATTCTTAAAAAATAACCATGCAAATGTAATCCAATGTAGATTCTTCTAGTCCACACTTCATTCCTTTTTTGTTCAAAATATCTTAATTGAATGTGTGGTGCTCCGAGAGGTACAGAGGTAAATATGTTGAACAGCTCCAGCTCCAAGTTCCTTTTCTTTTTTTTTTTTTTTTGTCTTTTTTCCGTGTCCGGCAACGGATCGCAACCCTCAGTGTCGCCCCCGTACTGGACCGGGGACCGGCAACGGGATTGCAAACCTCGGCGTTGCTCCCGCGCCTCGCTCAGCCAGTGAGCGGGAACCGGTCTGTATGTGGGATCCGAACCCTCGGGCGGGAGCGCCACTGCGCTTCCCAAGCGGCGCACTATCCAGTGCGCCACCGGGCCGGCCCCTCCAAGTTCCTTTTCTCAGGGAATTTATAACTAGTAAGAGCAGATTTTTTCTTTTTCTTTTTCTTTCTTTTTTTTAGCAAATGGTTTCATAGTCTAATAAATTATCCCATAATGTGCTCAGATGTAGCATTTATGTCTGGTTGTTGTCAGTTGTAAATTTGCTGAGGCATAAATGTGGATCATGCCTGTCGAGGTGCAGTCAGGAGTGAGGGGAGATGACACTGGCTAGTTCATCCTTGTTACTACCCACCTGGCATGTGCATTTGAGGAGGTGTATCTCTGCTTTAGTGATTTGTGCAAATTGGGTCATGCCTGAGAGCTTTGTCTATATTCTCCTCAAAGGTCAAGGGTCTAGTGTACAAGGAAAAATGAAAAGTCTTACCATAGAAGTACAAGTAACAGTTGTCATATCGGGCGTACCAGGAAGGTCTTCGTGAAAGAGGTGGAGTTTGAGCTGCCTTTTGAAGGATGTGTAGAAGGTCAGTAGGTTGAGGAATGGAATTTCAGGGAGAGCAGAGACAGGAGAGGGCAGGGTCTGGCCACAGAGCCGCAGGTGCCCCACGTGGATGTGGAGGGATGGGTGGGGCTGGAGCTGGGAAGGTCACCTGGAGCCGGCCACAGAAGACGTGGCCTGCATGCTGAAGGCATGGGACTTGTTGCTCTAAGCTTTGGGACACGGGCTCACCTGCCCTGAATACCTGAGAGGTAGCGCCAGGTGACTTGTGTGTGGTTGTGAGGGTTACTCGAGGGGACATCAGGTTCATCTTGGTGCTCCATCATGCTCACTGGCTCATACTTGTCTTCACTCTCGTCGTGCTCCGGCCAGCCTGTTGAAGAGTTGATGCTCCCCCGCATGTCACCACCCTGAGATCAGGCCCTGTGGCCTCGTGTGCCTTGCGTGGCAGCTTGGCTCTGTAGGTGGTGGGTGGTGCATCGTCCTGCATGCACCAGAAGGATTGCAGTGGCTGCAGTGAGACACATGAACTGGAGGAGCGGCCGGAAGGCAGGGACACTGGCTGGGTTCCCATGCACACGTCCGTGCAAGTCCTGGACAAGTTCTGCAGAGCAGGAGTAAAAGGTCCTCAGGCAGCCATCTGTGTTGCAGTCACTGATGTTGCCCATGGGGCCAGAATAGCTGAGGCCCAGTATTTGTTGAATGAATGAACAAGTAGAGGAAGAAATGTAAGGAATTCACCAGTTTTAATAATTGAAAATTCTTTGGGATTAAAAGTTTCTTCATTTTAGGATGGTTGGCCTAATCTCTGGGAAATCTGCCCAAAAGCATGGAAGCTTTGATTGAAGTTGGGGAATTAGGGGTGTCAAGGGAAGGAAGGGATAATTTCAGTACATGGGAATTTTGGGATTGTGAGATTCCTAGTAAAGATTTTGGTTGTCTGCATGCAAAATGAGGGTCTCTGATATTGAATTCCAGCAGGAGAAGGGAAGTCAGAAAAGTCCTAAGAGACACAAAGGTTTCAGGTCTCTAGAGAAGCTATTTCACAGTTCTATCTTGGGTCCCAGGATGCTATCCTTTTGCTAATAAAAGCCACTTATCAGTGATGCTTGACTTGGGTTCTCGGTCAGCACCACCTACACTAGAGCTAGCTTTAAAGTGAAGTTTGAGTTCCTGAACCTCCCGTGTCCTCTGCTGCTTAAGTCAGTAGTGTGTTTTCCTTATCCCAGTCATCAGTCATCATATAGCGCTGGCTATTTGACGCTC